AACATCCCAGTGTCTAGGCTGAGTAAGGTATCTTGCCATATAGAATGGGCTCCACTAAGTCAACGGTGACTGTTCAGTTTTCATGAATTTGAAAACTTTATTCTGCTTCTGTTGCTGATATCCAGCTATAATTTATGGTGATCTGAAAGGATGCAGGGTATTACTTCAATATTCTTGAGTTTTTTGAAAATTGTCTTGTGATCAAGTGGTGGTCAATTTTGTAGAAAGCCTTACAAGCTGCAAACAGAAAGGTATATTCTTTTGTACGGGGGTGAAATGTTCTGGAAATACCCATTAGGTCCATTCAGTTTATAATCTCTGTTATATATATCGTTTCTCTGCTTAGTTTTTAACTGGAAGTCCTCTGTATTAGCAAGAGTGAGGTATTGAAATCACTCCTTATCAGTATGTGAGGGGCAATATGTAATTTTAGCTGTAGTTGTGTTTCTTTTATGAACTTAGATATCTTAGGTTTTGGTGGATAGATGTTTAGAATTTCAATATCCTCTTGTTGGGTTTCTAATTTTCATGAGTTTGTAATGCCTTTCACTATCTCTTCTAATTAGTTTTGGTTTGAGGTCTTATTTTGTGAGATATTAAAATGGCTACACTAACTTGCTTCTTTGGTTCATTTACTTAGAATATATTTCCCATTATTTTACTCTGAGTAGTACATTTCTGTCCTTGATTGTAAGGTGTGTGTGTGTGTGTGTGTGTGTGTGTTTTTTTTTTTTTTTTTTTTTTTTTTTTGGATTCACCTAAAAATTGGATTCTCTTCTCAAAACCAACCTGTTACCTGTTAGGCCCTGCCATTGTATTGGTGAATTAAAATCATTGCTATTGAGAATAATCAATGAGCAAATGTATTGATTCTTGCTAGTTTATTGTTTAGATAATTGGTTTTAAGCACTACTGGGCTAAGATTTTTATTTTTCGCATTTTCTTGTATTTGTGTTAAATTGTGCCTTCTTTAGAGATGGATTGGAAGATAGGTGCTCAAGAAATTTGATTTTTATAGTGGAATGTCTTCAGTTTTTGTCTTTTGTAATTGATATTTTGCTGGCTACATTAGTCTGGGCTGGCATCTGTGGTCTCTGAACTTGTAGATCATATAGGCCTTCTGTGTTTCAGAGACACCATTGAGCTATCAGATTATGGCTCTATTGTGTCTGGCTGATGTCAAACTTATTATTTTTCACATTTTATTCTGTGTGTTTAGTGTTTTAATTATTATATGTCTTGGGGAATTCATTGAATCTATAGATTGCATCCGGGAGATTGCCATTTTTACTATGCTAATCATATTGATTCTTGTGTATGAAAGATCTTCCCATCTTGTGATACCTTCTTCAGTTTCTTACTTCAAAGACTTGAAATTTTGTCATGCAGGTCTTTCACTTCTTGGCAAGAATTACTCCAAGATATTTTATATTATTTGAGGGTATTTTCAAGGGTGTTATATCCTTGATTTCTTTCTCTGCCCTTTTATGGTTTGTATATAGGATAGATATTGATTTGTTAAAGTTTTTCAGGTGTCCAACCACTTTTCTGAATGTGTTCATCAACTGTAAGAGTTCCCCATTGTGATTATCAGGCTCACTTATATATAATAACATATCATCTGTAAATAATTATACTATACATAGCTACAAAGTTCCTCAATGAACTGAATCCAAGAACACATCAAAACACCATCCACCATGATCAAATAGAATTCATCCCACAGGTGTAGGCATCTATAAAAAGGAATGTATTTTTCTAAATAGTAGTATTCCATTGTATAAATGTGCCACATATTCTTTATCCATTTTTCAGTTGAGGGGCATCTAGGTTGCTTCCAGGTTCTTGCTATTACAAATAATGCTGCTACAAACATAGTTGAACATATATCTTTGTAGCATGGATGTGGATCATTTGGGTATATGCCTAAGAGTGGGATTGCCAGGTCTTGTGGTAGACTGATTCCCATTTTCCTGAGGAACTGCCATCCTGATCTCCAAAATGGCTATAAAAGTTTGAACTCCCACCAGCAGTGGAGGACTGTTACCCTTTCTCCAAATCCTCTCCAGCATAAATTGTCATTGGTGTTTCTGATTTTAGCCATTGTGGCTGGAGTAAGTTTGTTTCAGAGTTGTTTTGATTTGCATCCCCCTGAGAGCTAAAGATGTTGAACACTTTCTTAAGTGTTTTACAGCCTTTGTTATTTCCTCTATTGAGAATTCTCTGTTCACTTCTGTACCCCATTTTTAAATAAGATTATTTGGTATTTTGCTGACTATTTTCTTGAGTTCTTTGTATATTTTGGAGATCATCCCTCTGTCAGATGTTGATTGGTGAAGATCTTTTCCCAGTATGTGAGCTGCCATTTGATCTTTTCAACTGTGTCCTTTGCCTTACAAAAGCTTCTCAGTATAAATTGCTTATTTGTGTTTTCCTTGTTTGCTTGAGGGATTTTTTCATATCCTTCATTTTTTTTTTATTCTTGTTTGTTTGATTTACTGTATTTTTCCGGGATTTTCTTTCAAGAGATTTATTTATTTACTCTTTAAGCCTATCTATCATCTTCCTATAGTTTGTTTTAAGGTCTTTTTTATTGTACTAAAACTATTTTTTAAATATTCAGGGCCCACTCTGCTGGATTCTAGTGGTGACATATTTGCCTGCAGTTATTGATTTTGTTTTTAGGCTGATGTTTAGGTGACTGCGTTTGGGATTATGATAAGTGGAGATGATGATATCTCTTATTGTCTTTGTTGGGTGGCTATTTTCTTCCTTGGTTTCTGTTCTTTCTTTATTTTTAGAGTGTTTTAGTTGCATTTATGCCTCTTTTTCTGCCTTGCTTGCCTATGTTTGCATGAGGAGTACTAGCTGGATTTGGAGAAATCTAGGAGAAAATACAAGTCTGTGGACTTGCACAGGAGGAATGTACAGGTGTGTAGGAATACTCATGCAAGTGTTCTGTTGTAGCACTAGGACTGGAGGCTTGGGATTTGGGGGTTAGAAAAGGTACAATGGGAGCCTACCTAATCTTCTGGCAAATGTGTCCTGTTGTTGAACATGGGGTGTCTGCCTAAGCTGAAGACTTGGAAACAGTGACAATCATGGAAAGGGAAGTCAGGGAGTGGATGGTCTGTGGGATCCATAGGCATGGGATGGGTTGTGAGGGAAAACTGAAGCTAGTTTTCTGATGAAGTTCTTGGGATGATCTTGAAGATTAGTTCTGAAGAATCAGAGATCTCTGTATACTTTATGTACCTTGATAATCATCCCCTTCTTTAAGTTGGTGAATATTTCTTTCATTGAAAATATTTTCTGTGCCTATAGCAGGGGTTTCTTTTCCTTCCTTTGTCCCTATTATTCACAGATTTTGAATTTCATGATAACTAGTGTAAAGATTTTCTAAATGTTTTGCTACTAGATTTTTATTTTAATTTACATATCATGGACAGAGCTATTAATTTCTTCTACCTTGTCTCCAATGCCTAACATTCTCTGTTACATTTTTTATCCTTTATTAGTGAGGTTTACATCCAAAATTTTTGTTTGACTTCCTGAGTCATTATTTTCTAGTTTTATGTCTGTTGGGTTTTTCTTTAATGATGTTATTTCTTTGTTAAATTCTGCTTTCATGTCTTTTTTATTATTTCATGTCACTGTTTTCACAGTATACATTAAGGTATTTATTTATAGTCTCTTCAAGGTCTTTGAACATATTCACACTTCCTATTTTAATAATCCTTGTCTTATGCTTCGATTATATTGAGTGTCTTAGAACCTACTGTTGTAGGGTTAGTTGGTTATAAAGAAAGCACATGTCTTAACTGTTTATGTGTGTTCTTTTGTGCTTGTGTCTAGGCATCTTCATTTGGGAGAACTGAAGTGATTCTAGGTATTGATATCTGGTTTTCTTAATGTTGAGTATTCCATTCCTGGGTTTCATTCACCACTCTGTATTTTACAATCGTATATAGCTGTGGGCTGTGTGGTAGAGAGGGCTTCAGCAGGTCAATGAGGGCAAAGAGGAATAGAAGTTTGCTATTTAAAATAAAAAAAGGCTTAGAAGGAGTTCAATAAAGAGTTAATGTTATTCTGTCCTCACCAAGAGGTGGGGTCCCCTAGAAATTGGAAGTTTAGTGGAAAGAGAGGCACCTGCAATAGGTTTCACTAGGGTAAAGAACATGTCTTGGGAGACAGGGGTGAAAGGGCTAGAAAGATTTGCTTTGTACAAAGACTTGTAGGCTCCAGTGAATTGACTTGATGTGGGAGGAAATGTACCTGCAAGCAGACTGCTAAAGGATTGAAGAGGAGTCAGTACATATCACTATGAGGACAGAAAGGATAGTGAAAATTGCCTATCTGATTCCTAGCTCTATATGGCCAATGAACATCTTTGGTAGAAGGTGTTTCTAGGTATTGGTGGCACACATAATGGAACTGAAATAGACTAGAAGGGAGGGCTGTAGGGAGGAACATATTTGGGTAAATATAAATGCTTGACAGAGTCCCCATGTTATTAAGGTAGGGTTGGAATAGGGTCTTCTTCAGTAAGCTGGATGCTTCATACCTTTAAGTAAAATTTTGAACCAGGAAGAATGTTGAGACTCAAACTTGATGAGATAATTTTATTTTGATCCAAATATATTTTAAATTTGAATGTTTGGTTCTCATACAAATTTTACAATTTTGAAATGTTATTAAAGTCCTAGAATTACTTTTTAAAATTCTTATAATGACAATGCTAATACTCCTAAATAATTGCTTCATATTTGTTTATATATATATATATATATATATACATTAATGTATATATATATATGAATGTATATATGTTATACTTCTGGTTTTACATTAGTGATTATGTTTCATCATTGGAAATAAAATCTACAAATGCAATACAGTGCAAAAATAATGCATTTTTCAACATAAACAAATACATGTATGGTATCCATAAACTGTTTTCTATAAACCACTTACTTCGTTTCATCGGTTTTCAATTCTAGGCAATTTGATAGATCAGTTGAAAAATGGAGACACTTTCATTATGATATGAAGGTATTTAATCAATGGCTGAATGAAGTTGAACAGTTTTTCAGAAAGACACAAAATCCTGAAAACTGGGAACATGCCAAATACAAATGGTATCTTAAGGTAAGACTTTTGAAATTTCATTTTCCATATTGTCTTTCTTTTTACTCAAATATTTTTGCATAATTAGCTTCTATAAGTTCACCTTGAAGAAGGAATAAACTATATAACTGTGGACTTTTCTAATGTTCCTTGAGCATGCTACTAAAATCAATGTAACAAGTAGGACTGAAAATTGTGCTTTGAATGTCTTGTGAAAGGATGAAAGCATCTGCCTAGGTACTACTGTCCCATCTGATTAATTGTGAAATACAATTGTGTCTGTGATGCAGGAAAACATCTTACAGCAGAACAGAATGCGGTTTGAGTTATCTTTCTTCTCTCTGTGTGTGTGTGTTTTGTTGGAAACTTTTCAGAAGGAAAAACTGTGCTATACTTGCAGCAAACATCTATCATTGTAAAATTAAAACTGCATTCCCTCAAGACAATTTGTGGGGATGTAGCAATATTTCTATATATTCAATTGACAAAATGCCTTATGAAACAGGCCAGAGGCCAAAACAATGTCAAATTAATTGTTAGTACTTATTGACTTTATCTGTTTTTTGTTAATGGAAATACAACATATGGATTATAACTAAGGAATCATTTAATTCCAATATGTTGTGTCTTGTAAAGTACAGTAAAAATAAATTAGATTGGAATTTGGAGTATATAATTGAATTGATAAAATATATAGATTAAATCTAAGAAATATGGTTTACCATGCCAAGTTTAAATTTTTGTTGCATTATTTTTCATTATTAAAGTTGCAGTTTTAAATGAGATGGTTTTGAATTGTGGCCAACTTTTTATGTCCAAAACTACTGATTAAGACAGATAAAGGCAAAGGAAATGGTAGTTCGTAGCAGGCTTTCTTGGACTGCAAGTCTGCAAATCATGACATGGAAACTTATTAGTAATTATGAGTTATTATTGTTAAGATTGTTTCTCTAGCTCTTTTAACTTAATTTATCCTGTTTCTACTAATTTATGTATTCCCCCAAGCTTTGATTACCTCATCAATGTACTATCTCATCCATCCTGCCTTGCTACTTCCTTTGTTTCTGACTGGCTTGCCCCAGACTGGCTGGTCCCAGGCTGGCTGGCTGGCTTCCTTTTCTCCCTGCCAGCCAGCCCCACCTATCCCTCCTCTGGCTAGCTATTAGTCATTGAGTGTCTTACGAGACCAATCTGATGCCTTGGGCAGGCAAGATAAAACAGCAGTATATCTTTACAAAGTTAAATAGAAATATAATTTCTATTGTGAAATTCAATGACATTTTGTGATGTTTAATCTTTGATTAATCCATTTTGTGTATATTTTTAATTACATATTGTTATTGTCATTTCTTATATGTGAAATATGGATAATTTTATACCTACCCTGGGTACATTCAGTTTGTCTTATAATGTCTTACTGATATAAAATACATATATAGTAATTTTTGTTTCCTTTATGAAATCAACCAACTGTATACCAACTTTAACTTTTGTTAGGTGTTAAGAATTTAAATTGTTAAATGCTAAATAATTTGTAATTCAAATAAATTTTCTTAAGCTGTCTTGTGGGACCCCATCAACCTAATTCAAAACAGCTTTAAATTTATAGGTTTTCTTTGTAATTTATTAATTGTAATTAGTCAGTGATTTTCTTCAACTGCTAAAGCAAACCTCATTGGTTAACTCTGATGTCCCTTGAAAGATTAATTTCGTCCATAGTGGCATTTTTGAACTATCACATCCAAAATTTGACTTCTTTCCCTAGTCTTTTATAACTTTCTTGCAAATTCAAGCTGTTTAGGACCCACCTGAATATAGCTATGTGCAGATCTTCAAAGGACTTCCTCAGTATTATACATTGTAATATCTATGTTTGCCCATTGTACTTTGTGTTCCATCTCCAGAAGTCAATTTACCTGGTATTTTATCAGTTACTCATATTTTCTTATGGTATGGAAATTTGTCTAGATAGGAAGATAGACAGTTAGTTCTCAGTCATGTCATTGTTTTCTTTCACTCTCTAATCATAGTCCTTTGTCCTATGTTCAGTGTCTTTCAAACCATTATTTCATAGATGTTATTTATTTTTGGTATTTAAATATTATGTTAAATTGACATGAAATAAAAATACAAAGATTTTAATTTTTTAAGGCATTATTACTACAACAGCAATTCAAGTTCATCATAATGTAATAGATCTGTAAAATATAGAAAACTCCTCAATTCCTGACAGTGTAATGTATTAATTACAATTGATAAATATTTATAAACGTTTCCTAATCAGACAAGTTGTAAAATTATTTTATTTATTCTAGTTTTTAAGCTACAAATAAATAAGAAAGGGATATATAGAGAGGGAATGTTTTATCAGATACAGAGATGTTAATGATTACATATTGAGAAGAGTTTTATTAAAGATATTTTACTAAGAAAAACACAATGGTATTTCTTCAGTACACAGAATTGATGGAGGAATATTCTTGGGTATGCAAATATATGTTTCTCTTATTGGTTGATAATAAAGCTGTTTCCAGGAGGGGTCAAGAGAGTATCCCTCCATGGTGAATGTGCTCCCAAAGTCCTTTTGTGCACCAGGGATACATCCTGGTTCCACTATCAGAAGTCCCTTAGACTGCCCAGGCCTTCTGAGTCCCATGTTCAAGGGGTATGAGTCTGTCCAATTCTGGTTTGCAAGCTATCAGTCTGAGGCACATTAGCTCCTCCTTGGTCAGGTCGGCTGTTTCTGTGAGTTTCTGTAGCCTGGTCTTGGCCTCCTTCTCTGAATCTAGATTCTAGTTTGGCTCAGTGTTTATTTGTGGGTGAATGCTTCTGTTTCCATCAGCTACCAGATGAGGGATCTATGATGGTAGGTAAGTTACTCATCAATCTCATTATCAGGAAAGGGCAATTATGGTGACCTTTCCACTGTTGTTCAAATTGTTAGTTGGGGTCAGTCTAGTAGTGGGATGAGAGGGTGTTCTGGGGGCATTGATAGAGGGAGAGATAGAGGGAGCAAGGGAGGGAGAGGGAACTGGGATCAATATGTAAAATAAGAAAAAAAATGAAATGAAATGAAACAGTATTTCCTAGCATTACATGAAAGGGGTTATAGAAACCCCTCATTTCTGCAGAATTAACTAAGAGGGTAGGTAAGTCTGGCAGCTAATAAATAACCTGGAGGAAACATCAATGTCCAATGTTTATCATGCTAGTACTAGGTAATTTATTTGTTGTCAACACTATCTCTGTTCACTAGTGTGTCTTTCTTGCTCAATATTAAAATGTATATGTGTGTAAAACATAAAGCTGTTTCTACAAATGGACAGTCAGTAATTGGCCAGGTAGGAAAACCAAAAAAGGATATAGAAAAGTAGTAGGAGTCAAGGAGACACCATATAGCTGCTGAGGAAGCAAAAGATCTGGGCATCATTGGTAAGCCATGTCCACATGGAGCAACACAGATTAATAGAAATGGGTTAATAATTAAGAGTGATCTAGTCATTAAGAAGCCTGAACCATTGACCAAGCAGTTTATAATTAATATGAGCCTCATTTGGTTTATTTGGGATTAAACTTCTGCAAGACCCAATGGGAAGAAAACATTCATCTACACAGAATCTTGCAGTAAATCTTTTTTTTCCTTGGCTATGTTCACATTTTATTAAACTAGGAAATAACAATAAGATTGATAGAAGAATGTCATTTCTCACAAAGTAATACTACATATTATAAGACCTCTCTATGACTCATTACTCTTAATGATTGATTAGCTCATATTTATAAATGTTAAAACATATACTGAATTATTCATCTCAAGCATCTGCAACAAAGCATAAGATAACTGGAAATGCTATTAGACATTATTTACACAAATTAAGGGAACTTCTCAAAGTATATCACTTGGAGTAATGAATGAAGAAAATTCCCATTCATACAGAGTTATCCACCTGAGATGGCTGATACTTCTGTCTTCTCAGTTTTTTGCACAATAAGAAGAAAGGCTTGAGACTTTTCAGAATAAATATTGAATACCATGAAGTAAGGTTATGAAATTACATTATGGTGGCAGCATGGATAGATACAGCATCAATTACATTGTTTAAAAAACAGATATGTAGAAATCATAAAATCCTCTAATATTAATATCTAGCCTGCTTTCAGCTTGACTTGGAACAAATAACTTTTAAAAGATAAGCTGTTGTTAAATGTAATTGAATTCATACAGTCACCAGTAGAAACAATAAAAGGTCTCCATTAGGCTTAGTATAAGCAAGTGTTGACTATCCCTCCTTTTAATGGAAAAGCAGCCTATTTGCTTTTATAGGATAATGCTGCTTTGTAAATTATATTAAAATTTAACAACACTAAGCATATTGGGAGTAAGGGGCCAGGGAGCTAAGAGATAGAGAAGGGGAGGAGAGGAGAGCACTTGGGACTATGAAGATTGAATCAGGGGAGGAATAGATGAGAGGAGAGAGAGAGAGAGAGAAAGAGAGAGAGAGAGAGAGAGAGAGAGAGAGAGAGCATAAAAAAGAGAGCCATTGTAGGTTTGAAGAGAAAACTGATTCTAGAGAAATGTCCAGAGACCTACAAGACTGAACCCAACTAACAATTTGAGCAACAGTGGAAAGCTACCATAAAAGCCCTTCCCTGATAATGAGATTGATGTCTAACTTACCTACCATCATAGAGCCCTCATCTAGTAGCTGATGGGAACAGAAGCAGACACCCACAGCTAAACACTGAGCCAAACTGGAATCCAGATTCAGAGAAGGAGGCCAAGACCAGCCTACAGAAACCCATAGAGACAGCTGAACTGAACAAGGAGGAGCTAATGGGCCCCCAGACTGATATCTGGGAAATGAGCATTGTACAGACTCAGAACCCATGGATGTGGGTCTCTGTTCGAAGTCCTGGGCAGTCTATGGGACCTCTGATAGTGAAGCCAAGATAATCCCTGGTACACAAAAGGACTTTGTGAGCACATTCCCCATGAGGGGATACTTCCTTAACTTCGAGGC